TTGTTGATTAAAGCGACAGAATATCTTAGACAACAAATTAATAATAATAATAGCTTTATTCCAAACAGTATTTGTGGTACAGGTATGGAATTTTCAGCGTGCATTACAATATTGCATCTAATTACCTCATAAATTTTATAAGATTTTAAAAATAAAAAGCAACAACAACAAAAAGAAAAAAGGATAGATGAAAGAAATAAAAAGAACAGCATTGCATTCACATTTTAAACAATGCACCACAGGATATGAAATATAAAATTACTGTGTAATAGAATATGTGAGCAACAATATAATAGTAACAAAGAAAGGAGAACAAAAGCTAATGGGAACTATTTGTTAGAGTGCCGCAGTAAGTTGATCGTGTCATACCTAACGGATTTCTCATCACATAACAGCTGTACCAGATAAGGTATTGTGGAGTTTTTGTACTTGGTAGTCCTGGCATATAGCCTCCTATAGTTGCTTCTAGTTCTACCAGATGAAATGCAAGGAGAGAGCTGCGTATAGAGAGGATGCTCGGGGTCTGACAATATAGTATTCGCTAGTTTCTTACATGACATTATATGTCTATCCACAATGGTGTTAACCAGTTGGTTTAACAATATTCCACTTGCCCTACTAACAGCTTTTAGTGCCCTACGCAACAAAGCAAAATCTTTCTTAGGTAGTCCAGGAAAGATTAATGGGGAGCAGTAAAGAGGGATGGGTAGAATACAAGAATTGACAAACTGAGAAAGCAAAGACTGCTTTATACCAGACTGCCTTAACTTCCTAACGTAGAATGTTAAGCGAAACATCTTTCTAGTAACTAGCAAGATGTGAGAGGACCAGGAAAGATCGGAGGAAATACTAAGTTTAAGGTACTTGACATTAGATGTGATTTCAACCTCTATGCCGTCAATGATAGTGGGAACATGTGAGCTAGCTAGTTGTTGTAGGTCACGTTTTCGTCTGAAAGTGAAATTTACTACCTGACATTTAGACGGATTCAGCTTAAGACCGTTTGAAGAGGACCACTGACTAATTTCCGACAGAAAGTTATTTAATTTGGAACAATCTGACTGAGAGTTGACAGGCATGGAGACAGAGAGGTCATCAGCATACTTGACAAAAGTGGCTACATCAGAATGGGGTAAGTCATGTAAGAAAAAAGAAAACAGAAAAGGAGAAAGAACAGCACCTTGAGGAACACCAGCTAACGTAAGTGAGGTAGTGGAGGACTTTCCATTGTAGACGGTGTACTGCTTCCTATCAGAAAAATAGGAATGCAACCACTTATTTGTCCAGCTCTCAGTCTGTGTTGCAGCAAGCTTACTTAGCAAGAGAGACCTAGGTACAGAGTCAAATGCAGATGTGTAATCAAGGAAGGCACACTGAACATATTTAGCTCCTCTATCTAAACTAGAGACTATATTATGATATAGAACAGCAGCGGCGTCTAAGGTACACCTACTATGTTTATAAGCAAACTGGTTGGGGTCATTGAAAGGCTTTAAAGAGGGTTCAAGATTAAGTAAAATAAGTCTTTCCATAACTTTTAAAAAAGGTGAGGTAATAGCAATCGGTCGAAATTTAACAGTAGGTCCACTTGTTGATTTAGGCACTGGAACAACCTTGATATTTTTCCATGAGTCAGGAATAATACTTTTGTGAAAAGATTCATTGAAAATGTCTATTAATGGGTACCATAAGATGTCAGCACACTTCTTAAGGATAACAGCAGGAACTCCATCATGACCAAGGGACTGAGTAGGTTTGAGAGATTGAAGACACTTAAGGACATCATTCGTGTTAAAACATGAGAAGCACTCATTATTTATACCATTAGATTTGGGAATCATAACATCTGCAGGCATACATATGAAGGTTTTATTAAGCATATCAACATCAACAGAAGTATCATTCATTATTTGCCTATCTGGTACAATTTAGCTAGTGCCTCGGTGGTTCATTGGCTGGATTCTCACCAACCAGACAGTCGGTACGGGGTTCATTCCCTGGCAGACGCACTTCTTAACCTCACTTAGTCTATAGTAAGTCTGGTAAAGAGAGAAGGTTGGGTATGAGACTAGCAACCCCATCCCCGTAAAAGAAATAATTATGACTATTTATGAAACTTCAAATTTGAAGATTGAATCCCTATGTTCTCCTGGAAATGCTAAGGAATGAAATCAAAAAAAGTTTAGCTATAGTTGATATAAGTATAAAACTTGGGCACTGTGGTAGAGTATAACTTCATTATAAATAAGATTTTATTTTGATAAATCACACAGTGTTGTACAGTAATATTAACTGATGACGTTTCAAGCATAATTTATTGCCGCTCAGAATCATATCAAGGCACTACTCACACAACTTTGTTGCCTTATTTATATACATGAGTAAAAGTTGATTATACATTTGAATAAAACCAATGAAAGATAAATTACATTCAGAGATAATATTACTGCTATCAATCAAACACAATCAGATGGAAAATAAAATGTCTTTCATAGTAAAAATAAGTAACTTGTTAGAATGTTATAATGTGAATTGAATACATTTTAACATTATTTATTATTCTCTGATTTGACTGGTGGTAATAATATCTTCCATATCTCTGGTATTAGCATTGAGTCATTTCTGTTGCATGTGTTGTGTTGGGTGTAGACTCAATGAACCAGGATTCAGTAATCAATCTCTGTCTCCACTTACATAGATTACTTTTTAGAATTTTAACCTTCTCCCACTCACCGCATTGTGTGGTTGTGTGTTAATGCATGCAGTGCTATAGCTGAGGTTTTTTTCTAAATTACTCATCTTCTCGGGTACAACCATTCTTACCTTAGCTAAATTCTTATGTTCCGACAATCTAACCACCCCTGACCTACTAGTTTGACCTATGTAGTTGACCTCACAGTCATTGCAAGGTATTTTGTAAATTATATTACTTCGTTTAGTTCTGTCCACTGTGTCCTTTAGCCTACAGAGCTCGTCTCTGAGTGAGATTTCATGTTTGAATGCCACCCTAATTCCTGCTTTATTGAGAATCCTACGTAGGGACTCAGATGTCCCCTCCTAATATGGTATAACAGTAGATGCCTTATATTCTTTCTTATTTATGCTATCATTATTAGTTTCACCATTATTTTTATTTTACTTTTGACCCTTTTTGATATTCCTAATGAATTTTATAGGATAGTTATTTAGCACTAACGCCTCTTCTATCTGTTTCATTTCATTGTATCTGGTTGATAATACTAACATTATTTCTGAATGTACTTTATCGTATATTGATTTTTATTCAAATGCATAATCAGTTTTACTCATGTATATAAATAAAGCAAGAAAGTTGTGTGAGTAGTGCCTTATAGATTATGCTCAAATTATGATTGAAACGTCATCAGTTAATATTACTGTACACCACTGTGTGATTTATTGCCGATATGTTGATGATGTATTTGTTATTTATAACTATAAGAATCACGCATCTTTATTATTTGACTGTACTAATGAGATCCACCCTAACATTAAATTCACCATGTAATATAAACATAATCACTATAAACATAATCATGAATTCAGTTTCCTGGATCTTGATGTAAGAAGAAGAAATAATGGCACGATCGTAAAACCCCATTTATAGAAAAGAAACCTAGATTCTACAATATTTACATTATAACTAGTAGAAATATTATCCGGTCTAGGTTTCTGACTCATAAGCTATAATCGTGGATTAATGAGCACACTGTTTGACAGAGCCAGGAAGCCATATTCACTTAACAAGCGGGAAGAAGAATTAGGCTCTCTTGAGAAGTGTCTAAGGGAAAATGGGTATCCAAAGGGATTTATCCTAATAAAAGGACGAGAAAATGAAGCAGCCAGCTGTTGAAAAGAAGAAAGTGTTGATTTGTCTCCCATTCAAACGAGAAACAGTATCACAACAGATTGACAACAGAATGCTCTATATACTAATGTAAATCGAATAAGCACCCTGCTGATGTTACCTCCAGCTTCATTTATAAACTTACGTGCACTTCTGGGAGCAAATAAGTTGGAAGGACAGAAATAAGTGCTTATATCAGGTTTTATGAGCATATCTCAAGGAACTTATGCCCTCCGAGTGCAATTACCAGACACCTTGTGAATACGAGTCATTTCATCAAGATTTCCAAATCCTTCAAAATAACTGATATACAAAGGACAGCCAATCTATTAGAATTTGCTGAAGCAGTTGCAATCAAACGTTTCAAAGAGAACTTATGCATGCATAATGTGAGTGTAATTAATCTTTCACTACCTTGGTAACTGCATTTTGATAACACTGATTAGTCATCCATATTATTGATCTCACCTCACCGAGAAAATTTTACTCTTTTTAACTATAACTTTCTTAAGTTCCTATGTGAATTTAGAAGCTAACATTCTTTACTAGATTTTTCTGTTTTCTGTTTTTTCCCGCCCCTCACTACCTCCTTTTCTACTTTGACAGAATATAAATTGATGGTAATTTAAACCAAAAATTGTAATGTTTACAATCTGAGATGCTCTTATTTTATAATATTTTCTCTATAAACATTCAAACATTGCAGTATATGATTGTCGTTTTTCATGACCACTGTACTTTCAGGTAGTTGGCAGTAGATCAGAACCTGTGAAATAGAATGATGATATCATCTTATATTGCAAATTTGGTTTGTCTTTCTCTATCGAAATAATAATATTATTGGTCTAATGATTTACAAGCTTGCCTGGGTTCGAACCCTAGTGAGTGCGTGCTGATGAAGAGTCCAAAACTAGGACGAAACAGTTGTACAGTACTCCCAGGTTTTCCAGTCTTCCTCTAACCGATATCAGTTCATGTTGAAATCCTGAAACCGATCAAATCCCTACAAACCAACACTTGTATAATATTATTTTTACATATGTGTACTATTCACTCTGCAGCCAGTTGTTGTGAATCTCTTCGATCTAATCTTGATCAAAGGTGTTATAAATTTATCGATTTTGTCTCAAATCAGATTACTAGCGTATAGTATGACCACCTTTCTTGGTAGTAAACGTAAATTTATGATACTGAATTGGAAAGAAAACAAAAAGTAAATCATTCTTATTATCGCTTATTTTATTTCCACACTGATGATCGTTATATGCTTATAGGACTAAAATATTCCTGAATACAATGAAGCATTAAAATTTCATGTTGGGACACTAATCATACAAGATACTAATTACGTAAATTACCTACTATGCATAGGTAACTAACTACATTAGTCGGCTAATGAGTGACTCACAGATTTTAATTTATTCCAGAGTTACAATAGTTACCCTAATGAGTATGTGATGTTTATATTTTGTTTGTTGATGACGTATTGTCTGGTTTCATCATTTCGTCAAGTTTTGATTGAAATCGGTCACATGAAAAAAGATCCACTCCATACCTCACATCACATTCTTCACATGTTTGTAGAATTCAATCATACAATCAATTTAGAATGATTGAAAATCTCTATGTATTTGAAATTCATCATTTTTCACCTACACAAATTTACAATAAAAAAAAAACTAACTTTATTTATAATGCTAAGAAATGCTCTGGATGATAGGTTTAGTTTTTGCATTAAATTTCTAAACCATGAATACATAAATACTTTTTCCTGTGTGATTTTTATAAAAAATTTTAGTGTGAAGGAATTGGGATACACCCGTTTATTTTAGCACTTCCTGTGACTGTTGCCGCTTCGTTTGCATTCGTACTACCTGTTGGAACGCTACCTAACACGATTGTTTTTGCTAAAGGAAGAGTCAAGGTTAAACATATGGTATGCTTTCTAATTTGCTAGTATGTTTTGCTATATTTTAATTTTGTTATGCAACAGATGTAAGTACATCTAGTTAATGGTTCCAACCACCAATTTGTTGTCAGATTTGTTTAAAAGTTATAAAGTGAAAATTGAGAATATAGAGAAGTTTTCATTGAAAAGTGACTTTATAGTTAGTGAAGATTAATGTGGAGTCCTAGTGGTGTGATGATAAAAAACAGGATGGATGTATCTACAACATTGAGAGCAAATATGAATTATATCACGAACAATCATCAATCAATGATACCCAACATCTTGATGACATTGGCAACGAATTCTAAAACTCCATGTATTTCTCGGGTCAACGGTCAAGTACTTCACAGATTAGTACCATGTTTCGGTCCGATCACTGCAACAACTTTCTGTACTAGTGCTATATCAGCCACCAGTGGTTATCACGAAATGCGGTGGCTCAGTATGTGAAACACATCATTCCTCTCAACATTCCTCTCACAACCAAATTCATTGGCTTTTCTTCTTTCTCTGGAATCCCACGCTCATAGGCATCATTACTTACCAAACTGGTCCGCCTAAAACAAGTGATTGAAGCCAGACACTTATGGTTGGACACCGTTGACCTGTATACATCTTTTCCATATCCAGTGTCAATACCTCACATTTTTTATATAGAATGAAGCAAAGTGTTAGATGAAAGATGCGTGCTCTGATGGATAGCCGGATATCCCACTGGTGACAAAGAGGATGCAAGCTGGCGAATAGCACATGAGCCTATTTTATCCAAACTGAGATTTAGTCATCAGTCAGTATATCAGGGCTGATGCAGCTTCCTAAATAAGTGAAGTGATCAGTACATCTAAACATTTCATTTCCTACCCTTAAACTAGGAGTCGGTGCACATCAGTCCAACAGAATCATCCCAAACGAAACAAGGTTTCTGCTCATGGTGTTCAGAAGACTGCGTATTTTGCCATCATCTTCACATGGAAGTACTATTTCATCTGCATTGTCTAAGTTGAACAGACTTTTCAATGATAACAAGCCAATCTCAAAGTCAGTAAAGCCAACTAAAGTTACATCTGTGATTGTCACCTCAGACGACGACTCTCCGATATCTTTTATTCGGCCACATATGTCGCAATGCATAGCCTGGATTAACATACTACACTTTTTCGACACTTCCTTCATTGCCACAGCATATATGAGTTGACGATGCCATATACCGGTCAAAGGTTAATTGTCGGACACTTATAAGTGTGTCTGAGTTCCAGTAAAGATTGGTGAAATGGACTAAAGATCAGAGCAAGATTAGACAGCTGATTCTTTTGAACTGAGAAAAAAATGCGTTTACTTAATTCTAACTATCCATTTTTGGGGCCTTTTCTGCACTCAAAGTTGTCCAAAACTACTATTAAATATTATGACAAGACCTTGCATACCGAAAGCTAACGGATCTCAGGTGTTTTTACTGCAGTAATCTTGTTTTGGAAGGTCTGTTCAATCGTGTGATCATTCTTCCCTTGAGATTGTAAGAGTGAAAACCTTACATTTTTACTCTGTTGATATTTTTCGCTCGAGATAAGCTTTTCAAAGCCTTCATGAACCACTTTAGGTATTAGTTGGATCAGATGTTACTTCATTCACTGGCTAACTTATTCTGATATTGAAATACTAAAGTTATTGAGTTAGTCTGCTCCAATTCCTAAACTTCACCTCACATACACTTCATATGTAAGACTAAATAAGAGTTAATTGTAATTCGTCAGTAATCAAACGTTTTGTGCAATTTTCGGAATGTAAACAAGCATGTTATACCATTCTAGAAGTCTTTTGTTTTCATTTTCTATTATCAGGTAATGGCTGGAATTCCCTTAAATATAATTGGTGGTCTTGTGGTACTCACAGCTATATCTACATATGCAGTACCACTATTCGGATTGAACAACAAACCTTCATGGATGAATGATGTACGATAAAGCTGTCCAAGTTATCTGATTTTATTCAAAGATGAATTGATGGGTTATTATGAGCAAAAGTGAACTATTCAAATGATGAAGAAACGTCTTTTTTTCACTCCAATTTTCACACATTTTTTAATTGGTCACAAGGACGTTTTTTTATTTAAAACAAAAAAGTTGCCTGGAAAAGTTTTATTCATAAGTGTACTATGCTTCCTTATTTGAATCAAACGATTTATAGCATTCAATTTATTTTAAAACTTTCTAGTAACGCTTTATTTTTTTTAGTTAAAAGTCAAATAGTATTTGTTGTTTACACTGTACAAACGCGAAAGATGCGGTCTGATTTATCAATAAAAACGCTACTTAAATAATCATTCTTACATTTCATTAAAGGGCAATTAGGTGGCAGACTTTTTAAAAAATAACAGAAGATTACTTAAGATATTTGTATTGTTATTGAGTCAGAATAAAGGTATTAGAGTGTCAATTTAACAGAAATCCTCCTACCTATCAGAAATAACCTCTGCAAGCATAGTGTTTCTGATTCGTTTGAATTCGTCGATTGAATAAGTGATGCTAATGTATCCGGGAAGAGAATGATATCCATGGATGTTACTTCGCTTTTCACCAACGTTCCCCTCACTGAAACTATATGCTTTATATGCAAATTCATTGAGGACAATAATGTAGACGTATGTGTTCCGATCCACTACTTAAAGGAACTACTATTGAGGTGCACTCTAAATGTCCAGTTCAAGTTCAGCAACACGATTTATAGACAAAGAGATGGAGTGGCAATGGGGTCACCATTGGGTCCTTTACTTGCAGACTGCTTCTTGGCTAGTTTGGAGAATAGTATTTTACGGCGTACTATCGACAGTTTCCATCTGTATCAAAGATACATGGATGATACATTCATCATATGTAACGACAATACCGACATTGAATTAATAACTAAAGAGTTCAACAGCTGCCATCATACCATCAAGTTCACGTCAGAATCAGAGATGAACTCGGAATTCCATTTTTTGGATGTTTTTCTAAAGAGGAGATCTGATGGTTCTCTTCAAAGATTGATCTACAGGAAACCAACATGGAATGGTCAGTACACAAATTTCCATAGCTGGGTCCCTTTGAGAAGAAAGAGAAATCTAATCCATTCCTTAACCTCAAGAATAAGGAGGATATGTTCAAGTGATACTATCGATGGGGAACTGGGGCGACTCAGACAAGTACTCATAGAGAATGGATATCCTCCAAGATTTATCAAGAAAAACATGAAGTTAAGGGAAAAGCCTGAAAGAATCCAGACGGTGCCAAAGAAACTGCTATTTATGAGTGTTGAATTTAAAGGGGATACCGCAGCTGAGATCCTAAAGAATCGCTTATGCAGATCACTGAGGAAAGCCTTCTTTATGGCTGAGCTACGTATCAATTTCTACAGCCGACAAATGATCAACGGATGTATGCAGGATAAACTGCCGCTTTGGGCCACCTCAATGTGTGTTTATAAATTCACCTGCTCGTGTGGAGCTAGTTATATTGGCCGCACAAAGCGCATGCTTTCCAAACGCATCTCTGAACATTATCCGGCATGGTTAGCAAAGCGACAGTGTAAGACAATTACTAGCTCAATTGTCGAGCATTTGGTGAACTCAGGCCACGTAGCTCCGCCGGAGTCGTCTTTCAAGATCATCTACAAAGTGAAGCCAAATGGTACAAAGGGCGTCAGGTTTCGGCTTTTGTGTATGGCGGAGGCGCTGGCAATTCATCAATACAACCCTGAACTCTGTATACAAAAAGTTTGTCCAGTCTCTTATTCTACCAGGGTCTTAACCTTCTCACTAATCGTTCCCTGTTAAAAATATTTTGAATTCTTTCTTTTCTCTTTTGTAATTTTTAATCTTACTTTTAGTTTGCTTTTGCTTTAATAATTAATTCACTATTATCACTCTCATATGCTCCTTTTGTATATTTTCACACCCTCTTCACACTTGTTAAACTGACACTCAAATACTTTTATTCTGACTCATTAGCAATTTTAACCTTATCAAATTTCTATATTTGTATTGTATTACCAAGATAATGAAACCGTCAACTAATACTATTAATAGAAATTGTAGTATATTTAACTGCTATAATTATATCTATTGCCTTAAAATACGCAGAATCTTTTGAGGCAATATAATGTTATTTACAGCCAAGTGACCTTCTGTTAAGAAGGTTCCATTTTATCGTCACTCTTCTTACTTTCTAATTAATTTGTGCATAGTATGTGCAGTAGACCGATAAACAGGAATGCTATGCCCTACGAAGATGCTACTCATTTTCATCTTCTTGAGGCTCCAGATTAAAGTCTACTTTTATTTTGTATACAGAAGGGTATATCTTTATTGCAAAAAATAGTAGTAGTAGCGAAAACTGAGTAAATAAACAATAGATAATGAATTAAATGAAGTATTTGACAAGAGATTAGCTTTCAACATAACAAAATAGTTCAATGTGACCATCAAAACTCTGCCGTCAGTGAACGCGGTTCAGAGTAAGACTTCATCTAGACGACAGTTTTTTTTAAAATGTTTACTAACACTTTTTAAAAGAAAATACTGTTACGCTAATAGGTGAAGTAAATTTCAAGAAAAAGTCTTCTGTTTGTGTATTATGCTTTGTTTTTACTCCTTCTTCAGTTGCTCTTGAACTTTTCTATAGACTGTACCTCTGAAATTTTTAGCATTGTTTAGCTGTGTGGATTTCATAGGAGCATGCATATGTGGATAGTACTGTGTTGATTATGTTTTGAATCCTTATAGAGTTTTACTGTTTATAAGTGGTTGATTATGTATCAGACCAGTATAAACCTCGATATTATTTTCTATAGTTTGGTTTGTAAGGGTTAGTTATGTTTTTACGAGTTGATCACGGACTGATATCCGTTAGACAACCATTGAAAACCAGGGAGTACTGGACAGCTGTTTCATCCTAGTTTGGGAATCATCGGCAGTAAGCACCCACCACCAGGGTTCGAACCCAG